GGATGTGAGCAGAGGGAACAAGATCCCCCAGGCAGTGGCAGCGTGGGACGGGAACCCCTCAGAGAAACAATAACCACCTGGCAGGAATCACGGGCTCCCTCCTTCTCCTCACGCCTCCAGCAGCAGCCTAACAACAGGCACAAGCTGCCACTGCCAGTGCTCTGCACAGGAAAATAAAACATCTGACAGGGATGATCTGTAGTCTCTGTCTTCATGTAAGGAACAGGTTGAAAAAACAGTCACGGTGATGCTGCCTGAAGGAAAGCTGGGGATTAGACCTTGATGTCCAGCTCGACCTTTCTGGCTTTCTAAGGTCACATTGAGTCACGGGAAAACCACCTTTCCCACCTTCCCAAAGGATGATCCTTTCATTCTCAGGTCTGGAAAGCTTGAAACAACCTGGAATCACACACCTCCGAGACAAGTTTCACTTTCACACATTGTAGAAATCCTCCCAACTGTTGTGAAAGTCAGATGATTTTATTTTTAAGTACAAGAACTTGTGAATAAATTATAGCAGAGTCTGATTCCATCAGTCCTTTCTGATTTTTTTTTTGTGTTACTCCAGAAAATGATTTTGACAGATGAGAGAGAAAGGGAAGCACCTCCAGCCTACACGTCACTTGGGTGCACTTAAAAACCTGCTCGAACCAAAGCAGTGAGAGAAATTCAATCAAACCAAAGCAATCATTCCAGTGCAGGAACAGGGCACATGGACACTTATTTCTTGACTGATCCAATGAAGTGGGATTTTGCTCGGGTCAGCTCTACTCTGCCTTGCATTGAAATACTGACATTAACTGCAGAGAATGTGGGCTGCATCTTGGGAGGACAATGAGCATTAATAAGATGGCAGCAGGGGGGTGAGAGGCAAAGCAACCCAGAGCTTCCCTTTGCTGCCAGGAGCCTTCCTCTGCCACTCCAACCCCGTGGCTAAAATTAAAATATATTGATCCAACAATCAGCCTCTGGTGGTTGTTTAAAAAGGACCACTTAAAGCCCATGGTGCAGATAAAATACTCCTCTCCCTCCCCACACACCAGGCAAAGGACAAATCTGCCTGGTGCTGCAGCTCCACTGTGGACACAGCCCTGGGTGTGCCCCAACACCACTCCTGATGCACATCTCAGTGTCCTTCCCAAACACTTCTCCTGGTGCACATCCCCAGGATCCTTCCCCCCCACCCCCAGCACCCTTCCTGCTGCACGTCCCAACATCCTTCCTTTGGGAAGGATGCACCTCCTGGTGCAAATCCCCAGTCCTGGGATGGGGCCAAGCCAAAGGGGCAAGGAGGTTTCCTAGCAAATCCCCAATTTGGAGTTACCACAGCCCAAATCTTCCTCGATGGAGAGCAATCCCATTCCTGCGGGCTGACTTTGGTGGGAAGCTGTTCCCGTCACGTGAATGACTCATCTCTAGGTTTTCTTTTTCTGTTACATTTTCACTGGAATTTCTAATGGATGCTGATTTTGTACCCTGCAGGCTCTGACAACTGCCCACAGGCTTTCTATCCACCATTCCTACCATTCCCTTTTGTTTGCACAGCTCGTTGAATGAGACCCCAGAAGACCCCCAGGGGGCTTTGGGCTGGCTCGTGCCCCCATGCAGCCACAGCACTGGTGAGGCTGCAGGATTCAGCCTCAGACTGAGATGCCCACTCAGCTGACAGTTCAGCTGGCACTCAAAAACCCATCACAGCCCCAGTGTGCCCGAAGGAAGAAGCAGAGAATCAGCTGTGCTCCCGGAGCTGGTGTAGCCAGAGCTGGGGGGCTGCTGGTCACACAGTAGGGCAGAGACCCCCAGGTCTCACTGCCAGACCCACTACTCTGGGCTCCCCAAGAGCCTGCAGCAATGCCTGGCCTGTGCCTGCTCAGGCTCCTCCTGCCCTCCAGTGTCCCCCTCCACCTTCAGTTCTGGGGCTCCCCTGTCCCATTAACTCATGCCCACCCATCCCAAGCTCTTGTGCACCCACAGTGGTCCTTCCTCTCCCTTCTCCTGCCAAGTTTCCTTGCACAGGCACCTCTCCAGTGTAGGGACACTTCTGGGCAGGAAGCTCCTCAAGGTTCCAGGGAGGGCACTGGGCTCTCCTCCTGCCTGTTCCCACAGCCATCTCCTATTCCATCTCCTATTCCATCTCCTATTCCATCTCCTACTCCATCTGTGCATACCTGGTGGATGCACGACCCCACTCCAGCCACAGAATCATAGAATCATGGAATGGGTTGGGTTAGAAGGGACCTTAAAGACCACCTAATTCCAATCCTTCTGCCACGGGCAGGGACACCTTCCTCTATCCCAGGTTGCTCCAAGCCCCATCCAACCCGGCCTTGGACACTTCCAGGGATGGGGCAGCCACAGCTTCTCTGGGCAACCTGTGCCAGGGCCTCCCCACCCTCACAGGTAACAATTTATTTCTAGTATCCCATCTAAACCTACTCCCTGTCAGTGTGAAGCCATTCCCTCCTGTCCTGTCATTCCAGGCCCCTGTAAACAGTCTCTCTCCATTTTTCTTGTCACCTCCCTTCAGTTACTGGAAGGCCACAATTAGGTCACCCCGAAGCTTTCTCTTCTCCAAGCTGAACACTCCCAATTCCCTCAGCCTCTCCCTGTGCCAGAGGTGCCCCATCCCTCTGATCACCTCCTGTTCCAGCTGTGCACACCTGGTGGATGCACAACCTCCCCTCCAGCCTGGCTCCCTTGGCAGGCTCGGAGCACAAATGCCAGTTGTGATTAAAAGATCAGTGACATTTCCATACATCTACGTGTATATGGAAATTTGCTAGTTTAATTTGTAAAAGGGCAAATTCAAAGAACATTTGCTGAAGGCTCTCTCCAAACCGGCTTTTACCAGCACCACTTTATTCTGTCAAGCCAAGGAGGCTGCAAGCACAAAGGTGAAGAACTGCAAACAATCTCTTACTTTGGAAGGATTGCTTGCTTGGTTCTAATAATTTTTAATTTCTGAATTTCCCTCTCATCAGTTTCTACAAGATTTCACACTCTACAGAGTTTTAAGTAGCAAAATAATATCATTATGTAAATCTTCTTGCATCTTTGTGTAACCCTAACACTCAATACACCAAATCCTGCCACATAACTGTGCCGGGCAATGAGTCAGGAACCTGATCTCATCAAAAAATTCCACCTAAAAGGATCTGCCATTAGCATCATCCCAATCAGAAAGGTGTTTTTTTTTTTTGCTTTATTGATAAAAAAGAGTTTATCTTAACCTTGTAACTCCACCCTGAGAAGGATCTCAGAGAATGAATTTCAGCTATTGGTGACAAGCACCACAAAAACACCCAGAAGGTAATTAAGCTTTGCATGTAATAAACACACTAGGCCACGACATGAATGATGATTAAAATAAAGAGATAAGGGGCGTTACATACTCACTGAATGCTCTTCATCCTGGGTCAGTTGTTACAGGCCATGACAGCACACACAGAGCCCAGTTCTGCTGCTCCAGCTCCAGGCAGTGCCGCCAGGCACATCCCCCAGCTCCAGGTTGAGGACACTGCTCTGCCACAAAGGCCACACTTCCAGCACATCCTGGCAGCCTCCTCCATCAAAAAGGAGGCACAGAAGGTGAGGAAAGGAAGCAAAAATCCCCTTATAATTGAAATTGCCAGATTCAAGCTGCCAGACAGATCGGGGAGTTACAACAAAGGTCAAGAAGAAACAAATTCTGACTCCTTTTTGGGGTTTGTTCTCCCAGTGAAGGCTGGGGCGAGCTCAAAATGGCAGGAAGGGAGTGAGGAAGACAACAGAGCACCAGGGAGGAGGGGAATGTTCTAACAGCAACACACATGGCTGCAACCACAAATCTCACCTTCCCTGTGAAGGAGGAATGAGCAGAGCAAGAGGAGGATGGTCAATTCTTATTTCATATTATGCCTGTGAATTCTAAATTCACAGACACATTCAGACCTGCACAGTCTCAGCCTGAGATTTTTCTTCCCATCCTTTATGTTTGGAACAGATGAGAACACATGGAAATGTGATGACTGGTGCACAAACTAACATAGCACTGTCAGTCTGAAGGGAGCCTCGTTCCTCTGAACCTGAGACAGGAATAATAACAGGGGAAAATAATGAGAAAAGAACAGAAGGAGGTGGGTACACACGAGCTTCCCCAGGAAGCACCACAGTGCTCTGCAATCAGGGAAGGAACAACGAAGCAGAGCTCAAATGAACAGCTCGAGCAGTTCAAAGTTCAGCTGCTGTGCAAATGTTATCACCTGCTCTTGCTGCCTGCAATCCTTCCAGCCCCAGCCAAAGCCCTGTGATGGGCTAAGGGGAATGTGTGTGTTTTCAGTTCTATTCCTGAACAAAGAATCCTTCTGCTCATCACTGCAGAGCCAGAACTTACGGGCATACACAAGGAAATGCAGAATGTAACCCTTTTGTCCAGTTCTCCGTCCACCAAATGTCCTTTCTTTCATTTCATTTCATATGCTCCATGTGGAATAGAGCTCTCTCTCTAGGAATGAATCAGTCTTCAGGCAGAGGTGTATGAATTCATTTTACTATTGATTGCCCTACACACAACAGCTAACAATTATCAGCACTTCTCAAGAAGTTATCTACTCATTTCATTAGTATCAAACAGCATCCTTTCACATCACCCTCTTCTTTAAGAAGAAAACTAAATTTACCAAGTCAATTTTTCTCATTACTCACTACTCAATCCCTGAAAAGGTGTTACAGGGTTCACAGGCCCCATGTCAGTATTTCACTCTGCTCAGCAGAAACGTGAACAATTGGCTGTACTGTTACAGCCTGGTAACAAAGGGCCTTGAAAGAAATGTGCTCCTTCCACAGGTACCTGTGGAAATGCAAAGATTCCGGGTCTGGAGGCGCTACAGACTCCTTCCCCTATCCAGGGAAAACAACAAAGGAAGGGCTTCTGAAGCTTCTAAGCACTGTGATTCCTGCTGAGGGATGGGAGCTCATGTTGGAGGGAGGATGCTGAGAGCTCCAGGCAGCAGAGGTGATGCTCACAGGTCCTGTGGCCGGGGCATGGAGGAGGCAGAGGGGCTGATGAGATCCTGAGGAAGGCTCTCCCGTGCTTCCTGCATCCGGCGCCGTGCCCGCTGGAAGGCCTCTACAACACAGAGGGGACAGCAGGACAGAATGCATCAGGCAGCCTCAGGGAAGGGCAGGGATGTGGCAGCTGTCCTGGTGCAGGAGTTCCACTTCCTACGATTAAGTAAAAGCACCTGGCCCGTGCTGCTCTCTGTTCTCCAGCACTGTCTTTGCTCTGTGCACAGTGGAATCAGGGACAGGGCCTGTGCCTCAGTGCCACCAGCTGTGCTCAGTGCCAGGCAAGACTGGGCAGTGGTTATCCCTCCTGCATGCTCAGAGCTGATGCCTCCTGAAGTTTCCAGCTTAGAGCAGAATATTAAACCTCTGCCATGCACTCTGAGAGCTCATGGGGAGGGGAATTACCCCCACAGTAATGGATTCTCCCGAAATACCCTGCCCATTCTGTCAGAAGGGGGCACAAGAGAGGCAAAGTGAGAAGGACACCGAAGGCCCTACCCAGAACGTTGTAGACAGAGCTCTGCTGGCTGAAGCCTCCCAGCCGGTCCAGGACACTCTGCATGCGCTGCCTCAGGGCACTGCTCTCCAGGAAGGCTCTGCACAGAAGCACAGCAGGATGAGGGCAGGGCTGCCAGCACCAGCACAAGACATGGAGCTGCTGGAGCTCTCTTTGCTGCACTTACTTGGACTGCTGCAGGCAGTGCAGCCGGAATGTGACGCTCCCCGTGGTCTCCGTCCGGAAACCAAAGCGGCTCAGGCGCTTTCCCTGCAGGGGTGGCACAGGTTAGAGCAACCCCACAATGAAAACAGGACCACGAACTCCTGGGGCCACAGTTTCCCTTCCCTGTGAGGTCAGAAAGAAGGGCAAATAGTTCCAGGCCGTGCTGAGGGCAGGACCTAAACACTTGCAAGCCAACAGGGCAGTGCTAGGGGAAGGTTTCAAGAACTGTCACACAAAGCTGGCACTAAACATCACCTTTCTCAGGCACCTCTGCAGCTTTCTCAAGACCATGAAGTTTCTGCTTGCCTCACATTCATTGGCTTCTCACTTCAGGAAGCTGTTCCAGGCACAGTACAGCCCAGATTCCTCACAGAAACCCAGGAGGAGTCTGTAGCTGCTACTAAATGCTGATCTGACAGTTTGTAGACAGGGGTAAGTCAAAGCTTTGGTCCGTGCTCCCCCACTTCTCTAAGCTGCTCACCCCTCAGAAGGCACAGCTCTGCCTCAGCATTTGCCCATTCCTCTGTTCAGGACCACAAGTCTCACAGAGGAGACATTTCTTTAGTGAGAGGAACAGGACCACCAGCTCATCCTTGTTGAAATCTGGTCCAGACTGTCTCCAGACACCTCAACCTGAGAGCATAATGTACCATTTCCCAGCAGGAGAGCACCTTGGAAGCGCTCCCTGCAGCTGAGCCCACCTTGAAGGTCGATGGTACCCGGACGTAGGTTAAGTCCTCCAGCTCAGGAGATCCCCCAATGAAAAACCTCCTCATCTCAGCCACTGTCCCCAGCTCCACGGGGCGCCAGGTAGGGACGGTGAGCACGTGGGCACCTGGGACAGGACGAGAGGACAGCTTAGCTGCTGAGAGCAGTGATCTGTTCAGAGTCAGAGAGGGCAGCATGCTGACCCAGACCACAGCTGGCCGGAAATGGAAACACTGCACAGTATCAAAAATGGTCTACGAACATTTTACACCACGAGTCAGCCCCTTCCAACCACACAGCCAGCGCTCAAAGTACTAACTGCCCACCAGGATCGTCTCCTCACAACATGTGGGGATCACCCCCAGACGCCATGTGGGACACAGAGTGATGTGCAGTATCATCCCAGAGCTTCCTCACACCACATTTTGTGATGGAACCACCAAAGGAGCAAGGACAGCAACGCATGATGTGCCTCAGAACAAAGGCAGAATGGTGCAGGATGCACCACAGACACCTGGTTAGCCCCTTCAGTGCACTGAATCCCTGGGACCAGCTGAATTCATTCCCAAAAGAACCACTCAACTCCTTCTCCCAGACAATTCAAACAATGCCCCAAGGATGATTTACCTGGAGATGCTGGCAGCACCAAGGACCCGTATCCTTCTACACGATACCTCTGCCAGAAATCCAGGGATAGGACCTCGAAGTAGAGAACAGGCCACTGAGGGAGACTGTCTGCAAGAAGGGGAGCAGGTCACAGCTTTGTGAAGGAGATTATCACTGAGAAAAAAAAAATGCTAAATTTCCAACTCCACTAGTAGGAAGTCAAAGAATCCCAGAATCATTTAGGTTGGAAAAGACCTCCACGATCATGGGATCCAACCTGTGACCCATCATCACCCTGTTCCAAAGCCCAGAGCACTGAGTGCCACGTCCAGTCATTCCTTGGACACCTCCAGGGATGGGGACTCCACCACCTCCCTTTCCTTGAAGAAATTCCTCCTAATATCGAACCTAAACCTCCCCTGGCACAGCTGGAGGCTGTTCCCTCTCCTCCTGTCCCTTGTTCCCTGTGAGCAGAGCCCAACCTCCCCAGCTTTCCCCTCCTGTGTCAGGGAGTTGGAGAGGGTCAGAAGGTCCCCCCTGAGCCTCCTTTTCCCCAGGCTGAGCCCCCACCAGGTCCCTCAGCCGCTCCTCACATGACTTATGCTCCAGACCCTTCCCCAGATCTGTTCCCTTCTCCAGACACAATCCAGCACCCTTCTACCACAGTCATTTTTGTATTTCTTCTACAAAGATTTGTGGTGGAATTATTTTCCCTGTAAAAGCTGAACCCTCAGATTTGACAATAAAAATAGAATTACTGGTGTTAAAAAATGGGGAAAATTCTTTAACAGCAAGTCCAAACTGGGTTCTCAATTATCTTTGAGCAGACAAGACAATCCTTCATGAATGATCTGATGCCAACCAGGGGAACCTGTTTATCTCTGACCTTTCCCAACATTATTGGGGGATTATTAACCTGGATTCTCCTACAGCTCTCCAAGCATTTCTTTTTTTCCACAATGAAACAAACTCGTTCTGTTTCTTCTAGGCGGAAAATTCATCAGTGCTGGCTGAATACCCAAATCCAAACTGTACATTGGATTCAAGTGGCAAGGCATGCCACAGAGCTGTCCCTAGCTATTGCATCCACAGAGCAAAGGAATTGGTGAGGAAGCAGCAGGAGCAGGCAGCTGAGAAGCCCAGCTTAAAATAGAGCTGAAGTTCCAAAGTGACATGAACTATACAAGGATTACACAGGTCACTGAGCGTGTCTACAAACATAAGACTCAGCACAGGGTTTAAGCTGTGTACAAAAAGGCTGCCTGGTTCTCCTGCTGCAGCATCCCACGAACGGCAGCATGGCCCAGCACGCCAGGTTTTGGGACAGATAAGCCAAGATCCAAGTGGTTTTGCAAGTGGATAAAGCTGCCTGCAGCAGGAAAACCTCAATGGATCCATACAAATGCTAATGGATTCCTGGGCAGGGCAAACACAGGATGTGTCCAGGGGCTGTGTGGTGACAGGGTGAACCTCTGCTGAACCAGAAACATCTCCCTCTGTTCTTTCATCCCCAACAGGCCAGACAGCAGGATGGGTGCACTGGAATCAGAGGATTTCAGGGTAACAGGGAAACACACCTTCATCTTCTAGGGTGTAAAACATCTCCACAGTGAAGGGGTAGCAAAAGTGTGCCACCTTATCCTGGAAAAGGAACGGGACAGAGATCAGATTCTTGGACAAGAGAATTCATCTCCAGCATTGCAGGGGGCATAGAGAGCAGGGAGAAAGGAACTAATGGTGGAAAGCAGGTAATGATGCCCAAACACGATCAACCACATCCCACTAACAAACACCTGGCTGCAGGATGGACCTGGATACACTCCTTAGTGCCATGTGGATGGAACAGGCTGTTAAAAATAATGGAAAAGGGGAATTAAAATGCACCTCAAATGGCAGTTCAGTCACTTGCATAACTACTGGACTGCCACAATCTCTACAGGAGCCAAGCAGAGTACCTCAAACAATGGTATTATTGAAATATTGTATGATAATTGTTTTTGTAACATGAAAACTAGATCACATAAAAGACATTAAAAAGCTGATAAAATTCAAATTTTCTAGGAGAGAAGCTGGAGACAGAACAGAACCAACTTCTGACGCAGATAAGAAGAATTCATTTTGGGAAATCAGTGTAGAGACTGTGTGCATTCCTGCCCCAGGCAAGCCAGAACAATGATTTGTTAACTCGGAGCATTGAAGAACACAAAAATCAAAGCTCCAAAGGCAACCAGTCATCCAGAAGGAAGAAAAAAGTGAGGTTTCAGAAACTGCTTTGGAGTAGTTTTATTTGATTTAGTTTTACTTGGACAGTAGCCCCCTGGAAAAATGGCAAGCGTAATTAGAATGAGGAGAATCCCAAACATGCTCCGCTCTTGAAAGGAGCTATCAAGTCAGGACCTTTGCTGGTCCTTTGCTGTAGTTTGTTACACATGTTCCACTCCAGAGACTGCCTGTTCAAACTGCTCTGCAGGTGTGAAAGTGCCCTTACCCAGCCCACTTTCTTGGTGGTGCAGGTCTGTGTCACTCCTGAGAGCTGCTGGAATGGGGGGCTCGACCACTCTGGGGGAGAGAAGAAGATGAACACAGTGGTGAAGGCTTGGGGTGAGACCAAACTCACAAACCAGAGCGGCTCAATGACAGTCCCATGAGCGGGGAAATAAGTAACATCACCCACATGGAATTCCACAGAATCCCAGAATCACTGAGGTCGGAAAAGATCTCCCAGGTCATCGAGTCCAACCAATCTGTGCCTGATCCCCACCTTGTCCCCCAGCCCAGAGCACTGAGTGCCACATCCAGTCCTTCCTTGGACACCTCCAGGGATGGGGATTCCACCACCTCCCTGGGCAGCCCCTTCCAATGCCTGACCACCTTTTCCATGAAGAAATTCTTCCCAATATCCACCCTGAACCTCCCTTGGCACAACATGAGGCCGTTTCCTCTTGTCCTGTCCCTTGTCCCCTGGGAGCAGAGCCTGACCCTCCCTGGCTCCCCCCTCCTGTCAGGGAGTTGGAGAGAGCGAGAAGGTCCCCCCTGAGCCTCCTTTTCTCCAGGCTGAGCCCCCCCAGCTCCCTCAGCCACTCCTCATATGATTTTTCCCTTGGCATGTCCCACCCTGTCCTGTTCCAGGCACTGGCTGCTCCTCAGAATACCCTGAACTGTCCATGAAAAGCACCAACTCATTTCAAGAGCAGAGCAGAACCTCATCTAAAAGTACTGAGTAGCAGAAGGGGTCTCTCTTTGGATAAACATCCAGGTATAACCAGAGAGGGGAGCCAGAGCCATAGCTCCAGGGGAACTAAACATGCTGCAGGACACGCAAGTCAGTGCTGGGAGCCTTATTTATGCATCAAAATGTAATATGTCAGGATCAGCAGAAAACAGGGTGGTGAGCACTTAAATCAGACCAGGTCAGTGCCGTGATGCAGAGGACAGGAAGGCTGTTCTCTGTAGGATAAGGAATGAACTTTGGACAGACTGCTGACCACCACCACCACCTCTGTGTCCCAGCCCGAACTGGAAGTGATGAGAGGGGAAGATGATACTTTCTCCCAGGCATGAATTTAGTTCAAAGAGTTGAGTTCTGCCGTTTTAGCTCTGAAGTCCTCTGACTAGATCCCAACCCCAACATCAGCTTTTGCTGACTCCCAGCAGATATAGTCTGATGGATGAGCCAAAGCCTGTTTTATTCCTCAAACTGTTGCGATGTGGCTGGAAATGGGAATACTCACGGTTAGGAAGCTCCAGGAAGAAATGCACATAAAGGTTGTCATACTCATAGCCTTGAGCTGAAACTAAGAAGAAGAGAGAATGAACTTCAGCTGTTTGCTTCAACACAAACTCCTCCATCACTCACTATAGACTTTTGGGAGAGCCAGCACCAATAACCTGTTACTGCTGGAAGCTGGGAAAAACCAGGGTCTTCAACACAGCAGGAGATGATCCTCAGAGAAGATTCCCTCTCCAGACTAGCCCTGTCCCCATACCACTAGCCATATGAGGGAGGTCACATGTTTAATTGGTTTCTTTGGGAAGTTAATAGAGATTGTAGCAATCTGCTCTCCTTTTCTTGAGATCTAGGTCTTCCTAGAACAGCTGCAGCACTTGTAACCTGCAGCCTGTAAATGCCTCTCAAGGGCTTAGCCTGCAGAAACAGGGAGAAGGAAGTAAAGGATTCTAGGGAGAGAATCACCTATTATGGACCAGCCTGTGATCCAAGAATCCTTGGACCCTTCATAGCCTCAGCCATCCAAGCACACCCATATTAGCCCCTATTACTGTTTAGAACAAGGACTCACCTATTTCTCCGTTCACAAAAAGTCTCAGAGTACCAGGAAGAGGCTGAAAAAACAAGCAGATAAACAAGATAAAAGAGCTCAGTGACCACTGGTGGAACTTCAATAACCCCTTCCCAGTAGCATCTCACACAGGTATTTCATGGATATCCAGACATGAATGATGGCCAGGGAGTGAACAGTCCCTCTGGAGAGAGGCTCTAAAGAGACCAAATCCCCAAAATCCCAGATTGCAGGAGTTCACTATTACATCAATAAGTCTCTTAGAGACTTCAAAATGTAATATGTAGTGAAAAGTCACTTGCAGAAATCATAGTCCTGTTCCTCCCGTCATGTTCCTGCACTTACCCAAGGTGGGGAAGCAGGGGGAAGGACAGGATGAGCTGAGACACTCTATCAAAGTACTGGAAAGTTCAAGTTTCACACTTTGGCAAACAAAATTTGAACAAAAACAAAGATTGCAGTTTGGGTAATTCAGTGAGAAGGGAAACTATGCATGAGCCTGGGGGTGAGAGGGGCTGTTAACTTGCATAAAGGGGCACATTAAGGTGTTTGACACTTGAGAAGTTAATAGCAATCACTGCCCTAGAATGAAGCAGTCTCTGGAGACTGTGATGCAAGTGAGCCAGGTCGCCAGTCCCCAGAGGCAGAAGAGGCTCCAGTCCCTGCCAGCAGCCTCTGGAACTCACCATTTCAAACTCTGAGCCCACGAGCCCATTGAGGTAATCTCTGTGCCGACCATAGAGCTGGAAACACACACAACAGCAACAACAACAAAAAGTGGGTTTGAATTATATTGGTTGTTACTTACTGCAAAAATTGTAGTGGGTATCATTTAAACTCAACTTAAATTGCTGCCAGGCTTAGCACATGTGGGGTTTAATTGTTACAGCACATAAAGAGAATGTAGGGATCTAATAGAACAAGGACGCATAACTGCTAACCCTGCACAGAACTTCAGCTTCAGAAAAGATCTTCTCAAAGGCCAATTTTAAGGGATAAGAAGCTCTGAAGAATCAGATCTTAAATGACATCTTAAAAGCACAGGCACAAACTATTCCAGTGAAGTCAACAGAGAGAGATCAGCATAGGGAAATCACAGTTTCCTTGGTGAGCACAAAAACAATAAAGGAATGTACAAATGATAAACTAAAACATTAAGTACTTTTATAAACTACTACAGTCAAATAGGCAACTCAGAAAGATCAAGACATGAAATGATATCCCAATATCCTGGGACATTATGGATAACAAGAAATCATTCAATAAATATACAGGCAGCAAGACGAAGATCAAGGAAAGGGTTTGCCCACTGCTCAAAACGGATAGAAAAACACTGGCAGGTGACATTAGGAAGGCATGAATTTGGGTAGTTTCTTAGATCAATGCAGGCAGAGGCAAGACAACTACAGATAAGGTGGCCATAAGGAGTAAGGTAGGAAGCAGTCAGAGAGTATCTAAAGTTCTAAAATTCCTGGGCGTGATGAGGCTCCCTGCCAGTGACATTTTGTCACCTCAGGTGTGCACAGCACTAGCAGTGACATCTGCATGAAGGTCTGGGCTGCCTCTGTCACTCAGAACTAGTGGACACGCTCAGTGGCTGGCCCTTACGTCTCTGAACATGCGCTGCTCACGCTCCTCCTCCTCTGGCTGCACCTGGGCAGAGGCATTCTCGATGGTGTATTCCCACACCTCTCGCTTCTCTCCATCCAGCTCGATCCTGCAGACCCAAAAAAAACATGGGAAAAAGTCCTCCATTATGCAGGGAATAGGCACAGGCACCGATAGGGCTCTCCTGACTCAGCAGTGTCCCCTGACCCAGCAGTGTCCCCTCTACCAGGCCTCTGCAGTGAGACAAAGGCACTCACAGCCCTCTCCTCGCTCCCAAGGGCACTCACAGCCCTCTCCTCGCTCCCAAGTGCCCGCCAGCATCATCCCATCAAAAAGGGAGACTCATTTGTGTCTGGCATACACATAATACAATTTTACATGGGGTTGTAGTGATAGGAGAAGGGGGAATGGCTTCACACTGACTGGGGCTAAGGGTTAGATAATATATTGGAAGAAATTGTTCCCTGTGACAGTGGTGAGGCCCTGGCACAGGCTGCCCAGAGAAGCTGTGGCTGTCCCATTCCTAGAAGTGTCCAAGGCCAGATTGGACAGGGATTGGAACAACCTGGTCTAGTGGAAGGTGTCCCTGCCCATGGCAGGGGGTGGAATGGGATGATCCCTTCCAACCCAAACCATTCCATGATTCTCTGGTAACCTGCATCCCCAGGGACTGGCACTAAAGCCCCACAGTCATACATGTCTTGGCCCCAGGCACAAGCAGACAATAACCATTCCTTAGAAATCTCTTGGATAAATCTCAAAAATACCTCTCAGTTTAAGTGCTGATCCCCTGCTTGAAGGGTGACCAGGAAACAGTCACTGCAGCCCCTAGTACCAGTCCCAGGAGAGGTCCCAGCCCTGCCCCACTCACCGGTAGGGTCCTTTTGTGCCAGTGAAATCAGGCTTCACTGTGATCACCCCATTGCCATCCACCTTGATTGTGCAAAGAACATGTTCATACTCTCTATTACCAAGCCTAAAGGAAGAAATCAAGAAAACACAGTTTAAACAGAGAGCATAGACACTCTCGTTCCCTCGAACAGCAGAGCTGGTAAAGGCACGTGCAGGTACAGAAGGGAATAAACACACAGATACTTTTCTAGAGGCATTTTGGAGGGATACGCTCAGCTACCTCCCAAATGAGGAAAGAGGCAGAAAGAAATTGCAGCCCGAGTTACTGAGCTCTTGGAATTCTCTCCCCTCAGCTAGTGAAAGAAACAGGAGATCTGAGTAAGGAGTGAAGATGGGTTTCCTTTTGGGAAAGTTAGATCACTTCAGGATTTTACTTACTTCCCATAAGGTCCCAAGTCCCCCATGATGTACATGGTCTGGACAGGAGTGTTAATCACATGATTGTTCTTTATAAATTCTTCCGAGGGTTCCCAGGTGATGATTTTCGACTTCAGAGAACTCGGTTCTCTGTGAACAGCAGAACACCACCAGTCACAGCTCAGCTCAGCAGCACCAACGCCCCCACCACAAGGAGTCACACTCCTGGATTCCACGTGTGACACAGCTCAAGCCTCCCTCTCCCCCAGACCAGGCTGATCCATAGCTGGGGCACCAGCACCAGGAAACCTGCAGAGCAAGCTCCGAGCCCCAGTTTGCACTCACACTGGCCTACGGTCCTGTCTTCTCCTCCTCACATTGGCCATCCTCTCGGCCAGGTACGATGGCACCTCATGATCTGAGTCAGTTACCTTCTGGCAGAGCTACAAGAGAGAACATACAGGAACTAGCTTAACGGTACTAGGACATCTTTCCCAAACACAGCTCTCCTCTTGGAGAAGAGAACAGGTACGTACACAGTCACAGGCAAACATAAATGTCTAAATGACTGTAGAATTCCTTCACTGTTCTGGCGGCAAAGTACAGCTCGCTCCACCCCACAAGCTACAAAGCTGAGTCCCTCTGAGTGTCCCAACTCTGAAACAGGGACATCCCACCCAAGGTCTGGGGCACCAGGTGAAGCTGCTTTGCAGCAGTGCTTCCTCCTGCACTCAGGGTATCTGCCTGGCTTCTGCAGGGCCAAGAACCAACAAATGTTCCCTCTGCAGTAGGCCTGGAAGTTTTGACAGACACAGAGCAACTAAGAGCTGGTACCTCCTCTAGGTTGGTGAATCGGTCGTGGTCAGTGTAGGTGAAGATGCGATAGTTCTTCCGACCTCCAGCCTTCTCCAGTTTCCGGATCTCCTCATGGTACTGCCGGTCCAGGGGAGTCTGGCAGGCTGACTCATTCAGGTACAGATCAACCTCAAACTGACAGCACCACAAAGCACAACTGCCACCTTTCACCAGCACTGGCAGAGCCACAAACACCTTTCAGCTGAGGTTTCCAAAGCCACCAGAGAGAAAAGGCCCTTTGGGAATCCCAGCAAATAACCCGAGCTCTGGAGCAGCTCCAACACTGCTCAGGCACGTGGCAGCCAAGAGCACCCACCAAGGCCCGCCTGGAAGGGCTCAGGCACAGCAGCTCACCCTGAAACAATGCAACCCCACAGAGAGGTGCAAAAAGGGCATAGGGAAACTCTCCCAAGCCTGTCCAGTTCTGGGCTCCTCCCTACAAGAGAGACATGGAGCTCCTGGAGTGGGTCCAGCAGAGACTGGGAGGATGATGAGGGGACTGAGCATCTTCCTGAAGAGGAAAGGCAGAGGGAGCTGGGGCTGTTCAGCCTTCAGCCGAGATGGCTGAGAGGGGACCTCATCAATGTCTATCAGTGAGTGCAGGGAAGTGTCAGAGGTTGGATTAGGCTCTGCTCAGGAGTGCCCAGCAACGGGACAAGAAACAACGGGCAGAAACTGATGCCCAGGAAGTTTCACCCGAACAAGAAGAAGAACTTCCTTATGCAGTGACCGAGCACCGAAGAGGCTGCCCAGGAGGGTGTGAAGTCTCCTCACTGGGGATATTCCAAACCCGGCTGCACAAACCTGAGCACCATAATACGGGGACCCTGCCTGAGCAGGGGGGTCGGACTATATGGATGACCCCCAGTGATCCCCTCCCACCCGACCCATTTCGTGAAGCCCCTCCCGTCCCCCCCCGCGCACCCACCTGGCTGAACAGCTTCTCCTGCCACCCCACCTCGGCCTCCTCCTCCTCGTCGTTCTCCGGGGGCCGCCGGGCGCCCGCGGGAGAGGCCCCGATCACCGCCAGCGGCACCGCTCCCTCCCCTGCGACGCTGCCGGCCCGGCCCGAGCGCTCGGGGCCGGCGAGCGGCGGCGGCGCCTGCGGCAGGACGGGCCCTGCGGACGCGACCCGCTGGATGCGGACCCTGCGGGGAGAGAGCGGAGCGTCAGGGCTGTGCGGGCCGCCGAGGCCGGGGGGGGCGGGCGGGCGGGCGCTCACCGCAGGCGCAGGTTGCGGACGGGGTCCCGGGAGCGGTACACGGCGGGGTCCCGGGAGCGGCCCACAGTGCCTCCCCCGCCCGGGCCCCGCACGGCGCCCGCCATGGCCGCGCTCCGTGGAGACGGGCGGGCAGCGCCCCCGCGCGGCTGGAGCCGCCCCACAGCCGGGCCCGCTCCGCCTGAGGGGGGTCCGCACGTCCCTCCGTGTGAGGGGGATCCCCCACATCCTTCTGTGTGAGGGGCGATCCCCCACATCCTTCTGTGTGAGGGGGGTCCACCACATCCCTCTGTGTGAGGGGGGTCCACCACATCATTCTGTGTTAGGGGAAATCCCCCACATCCTTCCGTGTGAGGGGCGATCCCCCACATCCTTCTGTGTGAGGGGAAATCCCCCACATCCTTCTGTGTGAGGGGGATCCCCCACATCCCTCCATGTGAGGGGGGATCCCCCACATCCCTCCATGTGAGGGAGGGTCCCCTACATCCCTCCATGTGAGGATACCCATGGCCCCTCAGGCGCTCCCGGGGCCTCCATTGTATCTCCCACAGCCTCTCTGTGAGGGATCCCCCACAACAGGCCCCACGACAAAGCCCCCTATCCCTGGTGTAAGAAATAAATGAAACGGTTTTATTACAAGCAGGGTTTCCATGATTGCCTCATGATGAGGAGTTTGTGATCAGGGGTGTTCTGCAGTTGCCTATGGCTGCAGTTCTGTTGCAGCTGTGACCTGTTAATAGTTGTGATCATGTTAGTGTTGTTTACTATTGCTGTGTAGAGGCGAACCGGGCAGTCGGTAAGACAATGAGAGCAGCCAGGGCTCACTGCCAAGGGACCATGCGGCCGGGACAGGGAAACAATCTAATAGGTTGGTTAAAACGACCAATGCACTGGAAAAGGGAAGTGTGAGCCCGCCCTGAGAGACCCAATCGGGCTCAAGGAAAAGGATTTATTGCCTTTTAGGGAAGAAAGAGAGCAGAGCTGAGCATGGGAGGGACAAGGGAACAGTTACGCAAATCGAGTGACCTTAAAAGAACTGCCCCCCCATCTCGGGTGTGCTCTCGGGTCCTGGCACGAGGCAAACCTGACTGCACCCAGCGCGCGCTGAAAATAAAGTTCTTTGTTTCACTTTATTTGGCCGTCTACGACATTTTGTTTTTTTTTTAATTTGAGATATTTCTCACACTGGAGGGAGCCCCTGGTGGTCTAGTGGTTAAGGACGCGGCGCTATCACCGCCGGGTTCGATTCCCGGTCAGGGCCACTCCCCGGGCAGATGGAGCTCGTCAGCCCTGTAAGGCAATCCATCTACGTCCTGAGGACCTCGCTGCCACCGTCCAAGCTCGCTTGGCCCCGGCAGATGAACCTCAGGATTAAAGGGTGGGCTCAGTTCCACGCACACTGTGTCTCACCTAAAAAATCCAATGCGCAGGCTGGAAGGTGTAAAGACCTTCCCCGGTTCTTCGTTCGCGAAGACTGGCCATTATTTCTCACACTGGCAGCCCCACGGCAATGGTGAGAGGATGTGCTGCAGGGCCCCACCACTCTGTGGATGGACCTCAATCCCAAACCTGTGTGTGAGGAGCTGCCTAAACCCTATCCCCTTCCTAATCCATCCATGAGTGCCAGGGAAGGGGCATCTTCATGGAGACCACGAGCACCCTCACACTGTGTCCAGTTTCAGGAGCCCTCCAAACACAGACACCGAGTCGAGATAGGAAACATTGTTTATTCTGCACAGGGTGCAAGGTGGAGGTCTCCACAACTCAAGCATGGCAAGGTGTAAAGAGTTATATCTTTTATATGGAAAAATTCACGTGAACCTGCCTATCTAATACATATGCACCACATACGTAATGCATGTTTATTTGAGTGAGGAAGATTGTTTCTTATCCACCTGACACTTCACAAGATCAGGTAGGTCCCAATCTTCTGCTCTTCACAGTGTCCAGAGCCAACACCAGACACCATGTGCTGTTACACAAGGAATACGATGTCACAATCAGAAACTGCAGTGGATCCCTGAGATTTCTTCATTCTAACAGGACTCTTGAAGGTTTCAAGTCCACCAGTAGTTACAGGAGAGTGTATTGTTGATAGCCTGATTCTTACTATCATGTCTAATGTGACATCAGCAGTGAGGCTCTTTAAACTCTGTCAAAACCCTTTTGAGAATCTACCACATAATTACATCTTTTATTTCTGTCTCAGCTGCCAACTGATGCCATAACTTTGCCAGTATCTGTCTGTAACATGGTGTCTATAATTGCTTACTCTGATATTAGATTAGATAAGGCTGGATAAACAGTGACATAATGATGTTATATTTGCCGAGGGTTAAAAAAAAAAAAAAGGTATTTGACTGAGACATTTGTACAAATTTCTCAGGTTTCAGCTTGTCTGTAATAAAAGGCTTTTTCTGACTTTGAGAGCTCTTGTATTTATGGTGGGCAGTGTTCCACACTGGCAAATGGAAGGACTTTGCCAGGGCCAGTGTTCCTGGAATAACAGGCATTTCCAATTAATTGCAAAGGAGTTTCAAGTGCAGGGGAAATGTGGGAGATGGGAGGTTTGGGGGGTCTGAAATGCGGAATCCGCCGATGCCGAAGGGCTCCCGAGGCTGGGCCGGGGCTGGACCGGGTTGCGGAGCCCCCGGGAAGCGCAGCCGGCCCGGGCTCTGCTCCCCCCAAAACCCCGCCGCCCCCCAGCCCCGCTCTCCCCCCGCCGCCACTGCATGTCCCGCCGAGTCTGCGATCCAGCCTGACGAAACCGAAAGCGCGGCCGCGCGTGGAAGTGGAAAGCTATTTTAGCACTGAATAGAATATTCCAAAAATGAAACTGCTTGAAATGCTGAAATACTCCCGCTGTAGGCGGGGAATCGAAAGGGGCGGGAGGGAAACAGGCGGGAAGTTCGCGCGCCGGGCGGGACCTCGCTGGGAATTCCTCGCCGGGAACCGCCGCGAAGCCCCGATAGCGCCGGGACTCGCCGTCCCCGCACCCACGGAGCCGGACCGGAGCCCCTTGTCCCCGATAAGGTCAGTCAGCGCCCACTCCGGGCTCCCCCCCTCCCCTCCCCGCCCGCTCGGTGACCCCTCTGTCCCCTGGGCTGATGCCCGCGCTGTCCGGAGCGGTCGGATCCGAGCTCAGAGCCCGAGCCCGAGCCGAGCCGGCGGCAGCGCCCGGTGGAGGCGCCTCTGGAGCCGGTGTCGGAAGCGGGACCGGCCCGGGACGGCCCCTCCGAGCTGTGCAGCGCCAAGGGGATTGCGCCTTCCTTGGCCGGCGCTTCAGAGCAGCGGCTGCAGCCCGGGCGGCCAGAGAGCCCCAGCGGCTTAACCCGCCGCTCTCGCTGCCTTTGCACCAGCGCCCACGGACCTGCCTGTGCCTTGCAAACGACTTGCATTTTAGTTTTTCAATGGAGGGTGGAACAATGTAGGTAGGGGTCCAGCTCTTCTCCCGGAGAACAAGGGACAGAACCAGAGGAAACAGCCTCAAGTTGCACCAGGGAAGGTTCTGGTTGGATATTAGGGAGAAGGATTATCAAGCCCTGGGCCAGGCTGCCTGTGGTAGTGGTGGACTCCCCATCCCCAGAGGGGTTTAACAGATGGGACACCTGGGGACATGGGTTAGTGGTGGCCTTGGCAGTGCTGAGGGAGCAGTTCATGGTCTCAAGAGGGCTTTCCCAACCCAAATGATTCTGTGATAATCATGAAGTGTTTTTAATAACATATCCCTCCAGAATCAGGATGGCCAACCAGGAGAAGCAGCTGCTGATTGACTCGAACACAAACTATGCCGATATGGTGGTAGATATTGGGGAAATACTTGTCGGAGGGAGATGCAGAAAGAAGATAACCTCTTCGAATCAGAAGAGGCAACGAAGGGACCTTTCCAGAGCAGTGTGTGCGTTGCTGAATTCAGGAGGAGGAATAGTGAGGATGGAGAGTGAGGACAGGGATTACTGCTTCAAGGTGCATGGCATTGGTCTGGATATCGAAAACAGCCTCCGAGATTGCATCAGCAGCAATGAGATCGGAGAATACTTCACGTGGATGCAGGAGGGGAGCAACCTGCTGCTTTTTGTTAAAACATGGAGCTGTGGAAGCCTGGAACAAGGAAGTGCAGAATCTACCAAGCCGCGTCTCTGCAGCCTGAGCACTGGTTTGTTTTATAGGTCCGGTACTTCCGTTTTCCCTGTCAAATCAGGGGAAGTTCCTGCATTCCTGAGGGGGAAGAAAAGCTCTGCCAAGTGCGACAGTGCGAATGGGCTGAGTGACAAAAGAGCTCGGCTGAGTTTTTCGGGTGGAGCAAATGAGGAGCACGACATCCAAGAGGCTGCAGCCAGCTTTCTAGAGAGAGACAGAGTGCTGGTTGGGGAGGTCCTGGATTTCACAGAGACAACTCATATTGAATTTAAGGAATACAGTACAAAGAGTATCTTGGAATACATAAACAAAAACCTTCCTAAATATGTCTCTGCCTTTGCAAACACTGAGGGTGGATATTTATTTTTTGGTGTGGATGACAATGGTAGAGTCACCGGAACCCACATTAACGTGGAGAAAGAAGCCTTAGAACAAACAGTGGCTGAGACCATGCGCTCAATGTTTGTCTATCACTCCTGTGGCTCTGGGACTCTGGGAGTGCAGTTCCAGACACGCATCCTGGACGTTTATGACCAAGCAGGATGTTCCCAGGGCTACATCTGCGCTGTGCACATTGAACGGTCCTGCTGCCCTGTGTTCCGAGGTGACCCTGAATCCTGGATAGTGATGGATGGCAAGATTGAAAGACTGAGAGCTGGGAAATGGATGGAGCTCATGACAGCTGCAGACCCAGGTAAAACCTGCACCTATGTTGGAGCCAACCTCATTTCTGCCTTGGGCTATAAACGTTCAGGAGGAAAGCCCAGCTTGTTTTGCTGGGAGTTCTCACAAACCCAGAAAAGGCCCTTGGGTGCAAGGCCCAGCCCCAGGCACCAAGGTGATGGTGTGATCACTGTCCTGCAGTGGCACCCCACCCTCTGAACCGGTTCAGCAGCACTTCTTGAAGCACTCCCAACTAGAATAAACCTTCCTTCCTAGGGATGCCCTATGGCCCTAACTGAAGTGGG